AGTCTTTCTGCTATAGTCTAATTGATTGCCTAATTGGTTTTGTTCTGTGAAGGTAAAAGGCCAAGGCCCGCCGTACATCAAGGGACCGGAGTCTTTGTTCCTCTGCGAAAGCGTGTGATTTAGGGAAGAATATAAGTAAGTGAATCAATTGGCTAAAGTGAAAATTCAGAAACTACTTTAGGGGTGAATTGGTGCGTAGATACAGAGAAACCTTATATCCTTATGGAATATAGTGTACAGAGAACCTGCCATCATCACTCCAAGTTTGCCAACCCTTCTAGCTGAGGTGATGGCTACAAGAAAAGTGACCTTCATGTGAAGGAGAGACATGGAGCAAGATGCTGAAGGATCAAAGGGGAGTCTTGTGAATACTGAAAAAACTAGGTAGTGGTCCCACTGGGGAGTTAAGCATCTGAATAGATGGGAATGTTCTTACTAGGGCTTTTCCGGAATCTATTGGTCAATGGATGTGCGAAGACCAAGTGGTCCTGGTAAGGTGGATGGTATGCACTGATTGCCACCAAGTGGACTCACAAGAAGCAGTTGGGCAAACCTGAGGTCTTCAAAGATAGGGTATAGACCAAGATGAGAGGAATAGCTATAGTTTCTGGGAAACTGCCTCTGATGTGTCCAAGAAAAGCGCTTCCATTTTACTAGAAAATATTTTCTAGTCGAGTCCTTTCTACTATCAGAGACAATGTCTCGTATAGCTGTGGAGCATGAATGTTCTAAGGATGACCCCCATCCAAATACCAAGCCCTGAGGTGGAACGGACACAGATCGGGTGCCTGATCTGGCCATTCCACTGGGTCAGGAGCTCGGAAAACCCTGGGAAGATGATTGGTGGTAAGGGTGACATGCATAGAAGGTTGAGAAACCAGAACTGTCTGGGCCAGTAAGGGATGAACAAGATGACTCATGCTCTATCATGCCAGATTTTGCACAGAACTCGAGGCAGGAGGGGTAGCAGAGGGAAGGCATAATTGAGCTGGTCTGACCAAGAAGAAGCAGAGCACCATCGTGGGCATGGCAACCTAGGCTTCGCTGGAGCAATGTGGGGTGCATTTGCCATTTGCCTGAGAGGCAAGCAGATCCCTAGTTAGGGTCTCCCATAGAGTGAAAATATTGTGCAGTATCAAGTCATGGAGCTCCTACTCGTTGTCGACTGTGCAATGCCTGCTGAGGGAGTCTACAAGCACATTTTTTGCTTCCCCAGAAGCTAGACTGCTGATAGTGTAGCAGCAATCAAATCACCCTAGTTCCATGAACTGACTGCTTCTGCACACAGGGAGGCAGATCTCACACTTCCCTGCTTATTGATGTAGGAGACAGTCGTAACGTTGTCTGACATTATAAGGACATGTTGAGTGTGGATGAACGGAAGAAAGGACTTGCATGCCTTCTAGACTTCTCGCAACTCCAGGATATTGATGTGCATCCTGGACTCTCGTCATGCTGAGGTACACTGTGCTGCACAGCTGTTCATGTGGGCTACCCACCTGAATATGGATGCATCTAATAATGGCCCTGTCCAGAGAGGGAAAGAGAAAGTGGATGCGCACACATACCGGATGAGGATTTGTCATAGCAGGGAAGACACTATGCTGACCAGAACTGTTACCATGAGATTCATGGAATGGCGGTTTGAAGAGTATACTGACTGCAGCCACATTTGAAGGCAACAAAGGTGGAGTCTTGCAAACAGGGTGATGTAGGTGCACGAGGTCATATGACCTAGGAGAGACAGACATGACTCGATCAGTACTCAAAAGTTGTTTGTGATGTGAACTATAATACGGTTCATGGCTTCATTAATGAAGAGAGCTAGTCTATTGGGTCCGGATGCATGGAGAATATCTAAGAGTTTGTGCTGGGAGTTGTGGATCTCTTCAAGAGGAATCTGAAGCTCTCCAGAAACCCTGCAAAGGTGGTCTTGGAACTGTCGGAAGTCACGGGGGGGGAGGGGGGGGAGGGGATTAAGGGGGAGGAGATGTAGAACTCACCACTTCATTTGGGGATGAAGATGGCAGTCTTACTGGTTTCAGCTGAATCACCAGATCCGGAGCATGTTCCTCCTCCTCCCAGGGATCCAGAGGCAGATCTGAACTTTCCCTTAGAGAGGAGGCAAGAGGTGACTTCCTTGAAGATTGGGTCAACTCTGTAGGAGGGGTTTCTGGTCCCCATGCCCAATATAGTCAGTAGGAGAGATGAGATGAGGCCGAGGCTGATCCCAAACTAGTGCAGGTCTTTTGGGTGGTGGAGGACGTGTAGGGTAGGGAAAGAAAGTTTCATTGGGTGGTTTGGAATCTCCCAATGAGAAAGCTGATCCCAGGTCCCATGGCAGTACCTTTGGTGCCATTGGAGGGGAGATGTATTCTGCGTATGAGAGGAGTGATAAACTCCTTCTAGCGGTTGATTCCCTCAGAGGTGATATTATCTCCCTGGAGATGGAGGCGCCCAATGGAGGAGAGGATTCTGCATCCAGGAAAGTGAAAGTGTCTTGTGGGGCAGCAACGGATTCAGATCTCCTTGGTGTGAGAAGGGTTCTATTTGTTCGAGCCGCCGGAGCCAGCCAGGACAGCAGTACCTGGAGCTGACAGCGATCTGACTTCATCGGTGCCAATGGATCCTGGGATTTGGGAGGTGTCAAGGGTGACGGTACCGACGGAACATGTTACAGTACTGATGGAGCCCAATGCTTATGGGCTTTCTTGTCATGCCTCTGAGATTTAGGATGTTCTAAGTCCTCCAAAGCCTAACTGATAGACTTGCTCAGAGCTGAATCGGACTTCTTTGAAGTAGGTTTAGAGGAAGACTGTCTCATGCTTATGAGTGTGTGTCCTAACTTCCTGACAAGATTCCACCATTGGGTATATCCTGCACCAGAGTCAGACTTCACAGCAGGAGGCACACTCCTTGTTGAATCAGGCCAGCATACAGGGGGCGTTCCCAGGCCTGGGTCTAGCCTTCTCCATGAGGTATTTGTGGAGACTAAGTTCCTGCCCTTCTTGGGTATGGATGGGGAATGATCATCAGATACTGCACCTCGCTTCAATGGGGGCTTCCCCAAGGCAGTATAGGCAGTGCTGCTGGTCATCGCTGATCGAGAAGGATAGCAGGCAGGAAGTGCAGTTTGAAGCCTGGAGTCCTGGAACCTGAATGGAGGTGAGAGGTCTCCCCCAAGAGACTAATGTAAATATTAACAGATCTATAAAACACTAATGAATACTGCCATGAACAGATGCAAGTTGAAGGATAAAGGAAATATCAGGAAGTGTTTTGCTATGGACTCCAATGGGAAGGACCTCCAATTAATAATCCCTCAGTAATTTATCAGCTGAGGGGCTGGGAAGGATCCACTCATCCTTTGCCAACCCTTGAATCCACCCCAGCAAAGGGTTATTTAATCCTGATGCAGGACAAAAAGGACCTTAGTGTTTCACCTTGGAGGCACCTTTGAAATAATACAGTCTCTCTTGAAATTTCTAGAAGTATTCATGCTGACACTTCTGTGCCTCATCTTGTAGTCAGAGACAGATTTCTAAGCCATTCTTAAAAGGGCTGCTCTCCTATTTTGATCCCAACAATACTGAAGAAACATTAGGTCTTCAAGACCCAACTGAGGGAAATTTAGGTCAAATTTGTGGTGGCCCAGCCCTTACTACTTGTTTAAGAGACAGGGCTTGGGACAATGTCTGTATCAAGAAACATCAAGATAGAACAGGAATCCCAAATTAAGGACTCTGCTTGTGAAACTGAGTTAGAGACCAAGGGCTTGGGGAAGGGGACGTACTGCTACTATCTGCTAAGATGAACTGTGGAACTTAGCAAAGACAGATGGGCACCTAGAGTCTGATTTGCTAATTTGGGGCTCAGTAGGGAAATGGAGAGGGTCCTTTCTCTGCTTCTCTTTTAAGGAGCCAGTTTGGGGGCTAAAAGGACACTCACATTTTGCAGTTACTGGAGAGTGTGGGACACAGCCTTCTTGCAGTGAGGGTGGAAATACAGAAGGTGGCTGCGATTCAATGTACAAAGCAGCACTGAAAAAACCACATCTAGAGTAGGTCCTGCTCACAGCCCGGTGCCACCTCCTTCCCCTACTGACAGATGCTACAAGAAGCTTTCCTCCCCAACCATGGTACTTCCCCAAAAGCTGCCCCTGCTGTATGCTATTTTAGGCATTTACTACAACTATGTAGGTATTTAGAAAACTGAACAGTATCTAAGCCTAGAGCTCTGGCTAGAGATATTTTTAAAAAGTGAAAAAAATAAATAGTGTATTCATGCTTTTCCCTGTAACTCAGACTCGTGAGCTGAACTGAGCCTAAACTATGTTCTGACTGGATGGGAGTTTACTCCTGCTTCAAAATATTAAAACATAAGACTTCTCACTGAACTGCCATTTTTGTTTTATTTATATGGCTTGCAAATTTTAGAATAAAATCTACATATTGTAAATTGTACACGTGATTATATATTTATTCATAATAGCCCCAATTTCTTTATTTTAGATTCCATATGGTACTATTTAAGGAGTCTAATTTATCTGTAACAATGAGATCTTTGGGCAAGAGGCCCTATTATACACAGTGTTGGGGGAAAGCTAGCTGGGTGCAGGGTTTTGAGAAGGAATAAAATCCCAGGAAACAACATTTTTCGGCCAAAACCCCAAATCTTTGCAGTGATATATAAAACAGTGCTTCTCCTCCAAGGGTCTCAGATGCAAACACAAAAACTTCACAACACTCATGAGAAGCAGGTACCACAGCAGGAACTACACACACTTTATTGATGGGCAAACTGTGCATCAGATGGGTCGAGTGATCTCCTGAAGGTTACACAATAAGGTGGTGACAGAACTGGAAAGGGAACTCATAAGACCTGATAATCAGTCCTCTGTTCTAACCCTAACTCTACAGTACACTGCCTTTTGAAGTGACTTTGTAAATAGTACTGTGTAAATGAAACTCAAAAGGTTAATTTTTTTTATATGCACTAACCTTTAGCAGGATGTCCACAATTCTTTGTTGATACTCCACTGCTTGCTTGTCATTCTTAAAGTCTTCAAAAGTCTGCATTAGAGAAGAGAATTTGTTCCGCAATATTCTTTGGCAACTTGGGAAGAAGCTTTTCAATGTTATTCCCATAAACAAAAGCAAGTATGAGCAAAAGGGTTTGTTAAAAGGGTGTCAAAGGTGCTTTCACACTCCTTGTAAGCATGTTACTTTATCACTGGCCTTGGCTACACTTGCGAGTTACAGCACTGTAAAGGCTCCCCCAGCGCTGTAACTCACTCCCCATCCACACTGGCAAGGCATTTGCAGGGCTGTATCTCCGTGGTTGCAGCGCTGCGTGTACTCCACCTCTCCGAGAGGAATAGCAAGTATTGCACTGCCGCTGCAGTGCTGCAGCGCCAGTGTGGCCGCCCAATGTGCTGTGAATGGCCTCCAGAATCATTCGGCAGTATCCCACAATGCCTGTTCTAGCCACTCTGGTCAACAGTTCAAACTCTACTGCCCTGGCCTCAGGTAACCAACCATGTGACCGACCCTTTGCATTCCCGGGAATTTTAAAAATCCCCTTCCTGTTTGCTCAGCCCGGCGTGGCGTGGAGTGCTATCAGCGAATCTTTCCAGGTGACCATGCCTCCACGCGCCAAGCGAGCCCCAGCACGGAGCAATGGCGAGTTGCTGGACCTCATCAGTGTTTGGGGGGAGGAAGCTATACAGTCCCAGCTGCGCTCCAGCCATAGGAATTACGATACCTTCGGGAAGGTATCAAAGGACATGATGGAAAGGGGCCATGACCGGGACGCCCTGCAGTGCAGGATTAAAGTGAAGGAGCTGCGGAGTGCCTACCGCAAAGCCCGCAACGCAAACGGCCGCTTGGGTGCTCCCCCCGCGACCTGCCGATTCTACAAAGAGCTGGATGCGATACTTGGGGTTAACCCCACCTCCACTCCGAGCACCACCATGGATACTTCAGAGCCGGTGGGGGGGGGGGGAGGAAGAGAAGGAGGAGGAAAACGGGAGTGATGGTGGTGGGCTGGATGAAAACACCCCTGAATCCCTAGAGCCATGCAGCCAGGAGCTCTTCTCGAGCCAGGAGGAAGGTAGCCAGTCGCAGCAGCCGGTACTTGGTGGAGGACAAACAGAAGAGCAGGTTCCCGGTAAGCGGTTTTTTTTGGGGGGGGGGAAGGAATTTTTTTGGTGCGGGCTCTTTGGGAGAGGAGGGTTAGGCATGCATGCTTAGATGCGGAATAGTGCATTGATGTGGTTTATCACATCGCGGTAATCGGCCTCAGTAATCTCCTCAAATGTCTCATCCAGAACGTGTGCAATGCGCTTGCGCAGGTTTATTGGGAGAGCCACCGTGGTCCTTGTCCCAGCCAGGCTAACGTGTCCACGCCACTGTGCCGTGAGGGGCGGGGGAACCATTGCTGCACACAGGCAAGCTGCATATGGGCCAGGGTGGAAGCCGCATTGCAGTAGAAGACCCTCCCTTGCTTCCCAGGTCACCCTCAGCAGCGAGATATCGTCCAGGATGAACTCCTGTGGAAAATGTTGGGACAGTGTTCAGTGTAGGTGCCCCCTGAAGCTGTTGGCTCTCCCCAAGGCACAGAAACCCAGAGGACAGTGCAGCCCTGAAACAATCAGTCCCCCTTACTCCCCATTTTGAGGCTCCCATGGGATATGTGTGCTCTGTTTCGGACGGGAAAATTATGCTATTGTGTAGACCCTGTGTGTTTTCTACTCCTTAAGTGCGGGGGGAATCATTACTCTGTCTGGTATAAACAATGCTGCCTCTGTTAAATGTTGCATTTTGCCTATACAGCTGCATCAACCTTGAGACCTCAGCCGTCCCTCTTATTGCCTGCTCAGAGACTGCAAAGACTCAGGAAGCGACCGAGAAAAAGCAAAGACGACATGCTGCAAGAAGTGATGCGACAATATATTAAAGAGAATGAGAAAGCACAGGACTGGAGGGAGAGAGAAAGCAGGATCCGCCAGGAAAACGCAGCGCACCAGCGGCAAAGCACCGCGCGCCGGCAGCAAAGCACTGATAGGCTCATAAGCATCCTGGAGCGCCAAGCAGATGCTATCCAGGAGCTGGTAGCCATGCAGAAAGAGGAGCAGTACCGCAAACGCCACCCCCCCTACAGCCCTTGTCCCAAAACTCTTTCCGTTGTGCCCCACTGTCACCTCCAACCCACTTTCCCCAACTTCCGTGTTTTTCACACCACCCGCTGCCTCCAACACCAGTATCTTCACCACCCAGTCCTGAAAACCACGACCCTTACCCTCTGCACTCAACCCCATCACCATGCAGTATAGCTGTCCTGAAGTGCAGCACTCACTGCACAGCACACCAGACAGGACATACGCGAATCTGTGATTGTACTGTTCCCCACTCCAACCCCTTGTTTCTTTTCAATAAATGGATTCTTTGGCTTTGAAAACATTCTTTATTATTGCATAAAGTAAAAGACTCCTTAGCCCAGGAAATAAACAGGCACTGCAAGTCTGCTTGTCTGCTAAGCAGACACGGATTCCTAAAGATTGGAACTACTGCACTTCAGCAGTGATATCTGGTGCCCTGCACGGGAGTGGTTTTCAGCCTCAAATTGCTCCCTCAAGGCATCCCTAATCCTTGCAGCCCCGCGCTGGGCGCCTGTAATAGCCCTGCTCTCTGGCTGTGCAAATTTAGCCTCCAGGTGTTGAACCTTGGAGGTCCATGCCTGAGTGAAGCTTTCACCCTTCCCTTCACAAATATTATGGAGGGCACAGCACGCGGATATAACCGCGGGGATGCTGTTTTCGGCCAAGTCCAGCTTCCCATACAGAGATCGCCAGCGGCCCTTTAAACAGCCAAAACACTCCATAGTCAGTCGTTCGGCACCGGCTCAGCCTGTAGTTGAACCGTTCCTTGCTGCTGTCAAGGCTCCCTGTGTAGGGTTTCATGAGCCACGGCATTAACGGGTAAGCGGGATCTCCAAGGATCACAATGGGCATTTCAACTTCCCCTACCGTGATCTTCCACTCTGGGAAAAAAGTCCCAGCCTGCATCTTCCTGAACAGTCAAGTGTTCCGAAAGATGCGTGCGTCATGCACCTTTCCGGGCCAGCCTGTGTTAATGTCAATGAAACGCCCACGGTGATCCACAAGCGCCTGGAGAACCATAGAGAAATACCCCTTCCGATTAATGTACTCGGATCCTAGGTGAGGTGGTGCCAGAATAGGAATGTGCGTGCCATCTATTGCCCCTCCACAGTTAGGGAACCCCATTTGTGCAAAGCCATCCACTATTTCCTGCACGTTACCCAGAGTCACGGTTCTTCTGAGTAGGATGTGATTAATGGCCTTGCAAACTTGCATCAACACGATTCCAACAGTCGACTTTCCCACTCCAAACTGGTTTGCAACCAACCGGTAGCTGTCTGGAGTTGCCAGCTTCCAGATTGCAATAGCCACCTGCTTCTCCACTGGCAGGGCAGCTCTCAATCTCGTGTCCTTGCGCCGCAGGGTAGGGGCGAGCTCCTCACACAGTCCCATGAAAGTGGCTTTTCTTATCCGAAAGTTCTGCAGCTACTGCTCGTCATCCCAGACTTCCATGACGATGTGATCCCATCACTCGGTGCTTGTTTCCCGAGCCCAAAAGCGGCGTTCCACGGTACTGAGCATGTCCGTGAATGCCACAAGCAATTTCGTGTCATACGCGTTACGCGGCTCGATAGCATCGTCAGACTCCTCACCCTCACTGTCACTTTGGATCTTAAGGAATAGCTCGACAGCCAAACGTGACGTGCTGGCGAGACTCGTCAGCATACGCCTCAGCAGTTCAGACTCCATTTCCCGCAGACAGATCGCGCTGCACAGAAACCGTTGAAAGATGGCGCCAAAGGTGGACGGAAACAAAGGGATTTCTGGGATGCGAAGCGATGCATCACGGGGCATTGGAACAGGACCCAGAATCCCCCGCACCCACGCCCCCTTCCCACAACCCACGGCACCAGAATGGGAAAAGGTGCTCTGTGGGATAGCTGCCCATAATGCACCGCTCCCAATAGCGCTGCAATTGCCGCAAATGTGGCCAGGACAGTGCGCTGGGCAGCTGTCAGTGTGGACAGACTGCAGCGCTTTCCCTACTCAGCTGCACGAAGTCAGGTTTAACTCACAGCGCTGTACATCTGCAAGTGTAGCCAAGGCCACTATCTTTCAGGAGCCAAATGTCCCCTTGTTTCCTTTTGTTGGCCTGCTTAAGTGACTCTAAGGCACTTGATACTTTGGTGATAGAACAGACAGCCTGATTAGATAAGACAAGTATAGTGGGAAGGGGAAGAAGTGAAGGCAAGAGAAAATATGAATAAAGAAAATGTTAATATTAAAACGTTCTCCTATTGAGGCACAAGCCTGAGAGTTAGTTATTTTTATCCCACCTGCAATTTTAGCAATGGCTTGAAAAGAGAATGGTTAGCCCAGTGCACACACCAGAGTCATATTTTAAAGCCAGAAGGGACCATTACGGTCATCTAGTCCAACCTCCTTTACAACACAGGCCAGAGAATGTCACCAAGGATACATCTACTCAGAAATTAAACACCCGCAGCTGGCCTGGGTCAGCTGACTCAGACTTGTTGGGCTCAGGCTGCAGGGCTGTAAAACTGCTGTATAGAATGTTTGGGCTCGGCCTGCAGCCTGAGCTCTGAGACCCCAGGAGTGGGAAGGGTCCTAGAACCTAGACTCCAGGCCAAGCCCAAACATCTACACAGCAATTTTTAGCCTCACAGCCCCAGTCAGCTGACCCAGCACAGCCCCGGCTGTGCCGCGGGTCTTTTATTCCAGTGTAGATATACCCCAAATGGTTCCTGCATCAAGCCAATAACCTCTGGTTTAGCTAGTGTCTGTCTTTTAGAAAGACAACTTGAGATTGTGCAACAATGATAGATGAACAGAAGAGCTAGCTCCCCACCACCACCACCCTTTGCTGAACTTGAATAGCTCTTACCAGTGCAAGAACGTTAAGGAACTCTCTGGTATCAAAGTGCAGCAGCGTACGAACATACGGGTAGACTTCTTCATCTGCAGATGCTTCAGCTGAGTGGAGACGGATAAGAAATTCAAACACCTGCAACGAATATTTACACAAATGTTGAAAATTTCCCACTATTACTCCCATTGTCACTGGTTGAATACCTGAAGAAAGAGTTCTAAACTCTTCTAAAACACAAAAATACAAGTTAATAGAACCATTTTTACTTGAGTGTCTTAAGTAGTGTAGGATGAACGTACAGCACAGTATTCTGGTATTGAGCTCCATACACCATTGTGAAAGTTTACCTTGCAGCATAAACTCAACAAGCAAGTAGTATCACTATACATAAAGCAGTTCGGTTTAAAATATCACATGATTTCTTAAAAGCTCTTACACAACTGACAATTACTTTACTGCGGCTCAGTTGCATAAGCAGAGATCCTCTCTGTATGCTCCTCTACTGATGAATACAGGCCAGGAGCAAAAATAATTACAGCCAACATTTTCAGACCTGAGTATCTAACTTTAGGCACTTGGATCCATATTTAGACATCTAGATAAGTGGCATGGTGCAGATCCCTACTGAAGTCTATGGGAGCTGAAGGTGCTCAGCACTTCAAAGTTCAGGCCACTTATTCAGGTGCCTCACTTAGGGCACCTATATATGAAATTTTTTTCTGAAACATTTTGAAGTTCAAAGTACCACCACATACAACACAATTTTGCCTAAAATCAATGGTGAACACTGATGTGGTCATAGGCCAGCCACGAAGCTACAAGTTACAAGCTGAAACACACAATGAACCTTATAGGAAAAAACAGTCCCACTTACATAGCAATTTACATCTTCAGAGAGATGTACAAACACTAACCTTCACAATCACCTGTCAGTAGGTAAGCTGGTATTATTCCCACTTTATAGATATGAAGTCTGGGTAACAGACAAGTGAAATGACCTGGCCTAGTTCACACAACAAATCTGCAGAAAAACCTGAGAAACTTTCAGTCGTGTGCCTCTACACCTGGCCAATGAGCACAGTAATCTCAGCAAACTGCATTTTAGTGTTAGAAAATATCTGATTTGGAAATTTCTGTCCTGGATCCCTTCATAGCAGTTGGAGGCAAGTCAGATCTTTAAGTGGACAAAACTTTTCACATTTGCAGCAGAATCTTTCAACCAGAACAAATGTCTAATAAAAAAAACACACTCAGACACTGCCAAGGTGTCAGACTGTTGGACATGAAGGAGCCAAAAATGGAGAAGTACCTGAGAATCGACTCTCCCGTTCACATCCAACAGCCCAAATACTGGAGAGTTCAAGGCAGTAACAGCCATTCCAAGCAGGGAGGGAGGAACAACAACTATGTACATTTAAATTACAACTAGTGGTCTGAGACATGGAGAGTTTACAAAGATACTACTTCCTGCAGTATCCTACCAAATGTCAGGTTGACTGACATTGGGTGGCCATATTAAGTCTGAAAGGTTGAGGGGTGAAGAGCAGATAGCTGCTCTATAAATCTCATAAGTTGCCTGAGTCCTTTCTGCCCAAGATACAGCTCGTGGAGGGTGTAGTGACTCCTTGAGGAAGGATAAGTTCCTCTGCCTTATTAGTCAGAGATACGAGCCTGGATTCATCTTGCTACCTTCCCCAGTTGATAAAGGAAAATTGGGTATTATGGTTTCTACAGCTTTTGGCTTCACTTGGATTCTCACGGGTTGTGTCAGACTCCTTAGAGTGTTTAACGTTAGGGTGGAAAGACAGCAGAACTCTTTCTGGGAATGGAGTATTAACTTTCAGGCTCGAGGAAGGATCAGCCACAGAACTCTTCCAGCTGTAATGTACATTTAATAGATCAGTAAAGGGAGTCCAGAGTTCAGAGTACCCTTCTCGTGCATGGACACTGCACCAAGTGGCTCACTGAGGGCTTTGACCTGAGCCTACATGACAGTGTTTGGCCTCCAAGAAGGAAATCTGCAGAGGCACAAGATTCACAAGTGAAGCAGATGTCTGAAGATGATGAGATACTCAGCTGGGGCTCATGCAAGAATGCACTATGAATTGCAGCAACATGTCTCAGGAGATGAGCTTCTAAACCCAAAGAAATCCCACTCTGAAGAAAAGGCTATGCCTTATTTTTCCCCACTTTTTGTATAAATTTTCTTGTCAATTCAACAGTGGTACAACTTCAGCCAGTGAGTTATACAGTAGAACCTCAGTTTTGAACACCTCAGGAATGGAGGTTGTTCATAACTCTGAACAAAACATTATGGTTGTTCTTTCAAAAGTTTACAATGGAACATTGACTTAATACAGTTTTGAAACCTTACTTTGCATAAGAAAAATGCTGCTTTCCCTTTTTTTAGTAGTTTACATTTAACACAGTACTGTACTGTATTTGCCTTTTTTGGGGGGGGGGGGGGGGGGGTGGGTCTTTGCTGTTGCCTGATTGTGAACTTCCGGTTCCAAATGAGGTGTGTGGTTGACTGGTCAGTTCATAATTCTGATGTTCGCAACTCTGAGGTTCTATTGTATATTCAGTAGGTGGACTCTTTCCTAGATTCAAGGTGATGTCCACAACCTTGGCTGAGTAGCCTAGAGTAATGATCGGTGTTTCTCAGATCCTAGGCTGCTAAATGAAGGCCCAGATTGGGGTGAAATATCAGACCCTGAAATAGAAAGCCCTCTTGTACTAGAAGTATCCACAATGTATCAAGTTCCAAGAACCACCGTTATTGAGGCCAATCAAGAGCTATCAGAAGAACTCTGGAAAGAGCACAGCTAGGGAACACTGACCCTCATTGCTGCTGTTCCTGGAGACTGAGGTACTGGCTGTGCTGGACCATGCTACCAGAGGCGTTGCTGCTGTGCTAATGTAGATGTTGAGCTAGGACACGGTACTCCTGAGGATTGTGGGGGAAGAGTGCCTGAGTCTGTCATGAATGGTATAGAGAAAAAGTGTTATTTAGCCCTTCATATAACACAAGAACTAGGGGTCACCCAATGAAATTAATAGGCAGAAGGTTTAAAACAAACAAAAGGAAGTATTTCTTCACATTATGCACAGTCAGCCTGTGGAACTCATTGCCGGGGATGTTGTGAAGGCCAAGAGTATAACTGGATTAAAAAAAGAATTATGTAAATTCATGGAGGATAGTCCATCAATGACTATTAGCCAACATGGTCAGAGACAACCCCGTGTTCTGGGTGTTCCTAAGCCTCTGACTGCCAGAAGCTGGGACTGGACAACTGAAGATCAATCACTCAAAAATGCCCAGTTCTGTTCATTCCTTTTCAAACCATTTGGCACCAGCCACTGTCAGAAGACAGGACACTGGTCTAGATGGAACATGGGTCTGACCCAGTAAGATCGTTCTTATGTAGTTTGTTGCCTGCCACAGCAACTGGGGCACACCTGGCTTACACATCCATTGGGAGGTTGGTCCTGGCATCCTGAAACACTGTCAGTGATCTAGCCTTCCTTAACACACCAGAGCAGTTTAGCTCATTTTTGTAGCAATTTGGCTTGCTCCTACACCTGCTCCATGTTTTCTGCTCTGACAAATAGCCACGACAAGGGAAGCAGCAAGCACAGTCCCTCAGAAAATACAATGTGGTCACATACTCTAAATCCAAAATGATAAAATCTGAAGACACCAAATTGCAAAGTTAGTTACGGAAGTAAAACTGACCAGAAACGCAGAAAACAGTCCCTCTGCCCCGGCTCAGCAAAGGTCTGGCCTGCCTCCAAGTGCTATGGAGAGAGGAGTAATGCAGTGTACAAATTGCTGGGTGACAAAGGGGAAAGATACACTAGACTGGCAAGGTTTTGAAGATGCAGATACAGCATCTGGAGGGGATGCTAAAGGTGAAGGGAAAACCAGTGGAGGTACTGAAGGAGAAAGGTGCAGCAGCAGGATCACTAAACAGCAGAGTTTAAAAGGCAAATATGAGCATTGGGGGAACCAGGAAGAGGTGGCTGCAACAGTTAAGGCAAAAGAGGCCTTGGGTATGAGCCAAGATTTTAGCCACGGGAATACCGAGGAAGGGGTGCTGAAGGTTGTACTGCCAAGGCCTTTAATGTACTCATGTCTGTAGCTGAAAGTTTGTCTAAATGGGTGAAAAGCCCATAGAAGTCCTGAGTAGCTAGTGTGCACCAGCTAACTTCCCCTGCAGACAATCTTACCGAGCACTAGGAGAACCTTTGCATTCATTAGCTTAATACATTTTGGAAGTGTACTAAGATAAACTGCCATAAATGCGCAGTAAGAGCCTCCACCCGGAAAGTTGGTGTGGAGTAGTTGGCGTGCTTTAAATCCACACCCTAGTTTACTGTGCACTAAATTCCCCATGTAGATAAGTCCTGAATGACTTCAGTCCCTACTGTTGTCAATAAAGTACTATTCAGGAGCACTACAATCACTCCCTACTTCTGAATGCATGGCTACCCATACATTGCACTTCACTTCAAGGGTCCTAAGAGGTCAGCTATAATGAAAGCGCAAAACCTAGAACTTTTCCGACTTTAATTTCCGTAGTCCTAGCTGCCTAAAGTCACCAAAGTCTGTCTAGAGACTAGACTGAGGACTGCATGTTTTCCCATTTCTCAAGGAAGCAAGAGGAATATTAAGCTTGATGTCAGCCTTTTACAAACAGCTGTGTGGTAATCCATGGTGGGTTATAAGCTCACAGGGCTGCAGATATCCAAGTTGCAGTAGTTTTCTATCATACACCTACCAGTAGATAAAAAGTAGGTAAGACGACAAGGTGATCCTTTATCTCTTAACAACAGTCCTGCAATACCTGCTTCATTCCCTATGATGAACAGTGTCCTTCCAAATTAATACTCACCTGGTTTTTAACCAAGGGTACCAGATCTTCAGGAATATCACCCAATGGATAAGCACGGCCTGCTAAACAGCAACTGTGGTAAAAGGAAAGAAACCAGTTACTACAAAGCATTGATCTAGTACCACCCAATCCTAAACAGACTGGAACAGTGCCTTTTTTTTTTTCCCCCCCGGAGCTGCCTAGTCTTCAGTATGCATTTTTTAAAAATCAGTTCTTCATATCAAAGCACAAAACTAGATAAGCATGTATCCTTAACAACAGTGCTATTATCAGAAGGGAAAAGACAGTTACCTTTTCCGTAATTGGTGTTCTTCGAGAGGTGTTGCTCATGTCCATTCCACAGTAGGTGTGCGTGCTCGCCCTGTGCACCGGTGCCAGAAGTTTTCCCCTTAGCATTACCTGTAGGGGAGCGCCGCTAGCAACCCCTGAAGTGGTGCCACCATGGCACGGTATAAGGGACGCTGCGCACTCCCCCCCACCCCTCGTTCCTTCTTGCTGGAAAACTCCAACAGAGGTGAAGGAGGGAGGGATGTGGAATAGACATGAGCAACACATCTCGAAGAACACCAGTTACGGAAAAGGTAACTGTCTTTTCTTCTTCGAGTGATTGCTCATGTGCATTCCACAGTAGGTGATTCCCAAGCTATAACTGTTAGAGGTGGGTAGGAGTTCACAGACACTTGGGACTGACCACTGTCCTGCCAAACCCAGCATCCTCCCTGGTCTGGGAGATGATTGCATAATGCGAGGTGAACGTGTGTGCCAATGACCATGTTGCAGCTCTACAAAAGTCCTGAATAGGGACGTGAGCTAGAAAGGCGGCTGACAAGGCTTGCGCCCTTGTTGAGTGCGCTCTCACAATTGGTGGCAGGGGAACTCCTGCCAGGTTGTAACAAGTACGGATACATGAAGTGATCCGGCTGGAGAGCCGTTGAGTGGAGATCGGCCAACCCTTCATTCGTTCAGCCGTGGCAATAAACAGCTGTGTAGACTTCCTGAACAGTTTTGTCTGTTCCAGGTAAAAAGCCAGGGCCCGTCTCACATCTAGCATGTGAAGACAGTGCTCCTCACTAGATGCATGAGGCTTGGGACAGAGTCCCGGAAGGGAAATGTCCTGGCTCATATGATAGGCTGAGACCACCTTGGGGAGGAACGAAGGGTGTGGGCGGAGCTGGACCTTATCTTTATGAAACACCGTATACGGGGGTTCAGAGGTTAGGGCCCGGAGCTCTGAGACACTCCAAGCAGACATGATTGCCACAAGAAAGGCTACTTTCCATGAAAGGTTGGACCAGGAGCATGTGGCAAGCGGCTCAAACGGAGGCCCTGTCAGCCTGGCCAGAACCAAGTTCAGGTCCCACTGTGGAACAGGGGGCCTAACATATAAGGAAAGAGGTGCTCCAAGCCCTTAAGGAATCAACCAGTCATGGCATGAGAAAATACTGTGTGGCCTTGCACAGGCGGGTGGAAGGCCGATATGGCTGCCAAATGCACTTTGACAGACGAGGGTGCTAGACCCTGGGCTCTGAGATGAAGGAGATAATCCAGTATTAGCTGGAGTGGAGCAGCCACTGATGAGACGCTGCTATCGGCGGCCCATCAAGAAAACCTTGACCACTTTGCCAGGTAAGCCTGATGCGTGGAGGGCCTCCTGTTTCCAGGAGGACTCGCTGGATGCCCTCTGAGTAGGTCCTTTCCTCTTGGTCTAACCATTGAGCAATCATGCCATGAGGTGGAGGGCTGCAACGTTGGGGTGGAGAAGGCAACCTTGGTCATGAGAGAGAAGGGCTGGACGGGTCAGCAACGGCCATGGAGGGGCAATAGACAGGGCGTCAGAGTCCCATACCAGTGTTGTCTGGGCCATGCCAGGGCAATCATGAGGACGCAAGCCTTGTCCGTCTTGATTTTTTCCAGGACCTTGCTGATCAACAGAATTGGGGGAAAGGCATATAGCAGCTGGCCCGACCAGGACAGAAGGAAGGCATCGGAAATCGTGCCCTTGCCCAGGCCCCTTCTGGAGCAAAACCGGGGGGCACCCGTGGTTCTGCCTGGTTGCGAAGAGCTTTACTTGGGGAGTACCCCACGTTTGGAAGATCATGTGAGTCACCCCCTGGTGCAGCGATCACTCTTGCTGGGAGGAGAAGTCCCAGCTCAGGCGATCTGCTCAAGAGTTCTGGATGCCCGGTAAGTGGTGGGCTTCCAAGTAGATATTGTGGGCAATGCAGAAATCCCACAGCCAGAGGGCTTCCTGGCAGAGGGCTGTGGAGTGGGCGCCGCCTTGCCTGTTGATGTAGAACATCGAGGCCGTGTTGGCCGTGAGAACTCTGACCCTGCCTGCAAGGCACAAGCAAAAAGCCACGCAGGCCAGACCGACTGCTCAGAGCTCCTTGACGTTTATGTGCAGGCCTAGTTCCTCTGCAGACCACAAGCCTTGGGTCTGGAGGTCTCCCACATGGGCTCCCCAATCCAAATCCGACACATCGGACAACAGTTCTATGGTTGGGGAGCAGCTCCTGAACGGGACCCCTCGGAGCACGTTCTCCGGGGTGGTTCACCAAAGGAGGGAGGCTAGTACAGTCTCGGGCACGGTAAGGACTTTGTCCAAACTGTCTCTGGACTGGGAGAACATCGAGGCCAGCCAGAGCTTAAGAGGCCACACTCGGAGTCTGGCATGGCGTACCACGTACGTGCATGCTGCCATGTGACCCAGCAGCTGGAGGCAGGCCCTGGCAGTTGTCACGGGAAACCTCATGATCATTCTGATGAGATCCCTCAAGGTTTTGAAGCTGTCCAGAGGGGGCGAAGCTCTGCCACCGTGCCATGGTGGTACCACTCCAGGGGTCGCTAGGCGCGCTCCCCTATGGGTACTGCTAAGGGAAAAACTTCCGATACCGGTGCATGTGGCGAGCATGCACACCTACTGTGGAATACACATGAGCAATCACTCAAAGAAGAATCCAAGTTTTCTGCATAAACATAACCAATTAGTGCTGTACTGTCGCACAGGAAACAGGAGGTGGCACTGGGACTTTGAGAGGGGAAACATGAAAAATTATGTGAGTATATTTTGGGCAGCATTTGGAGCAACACCGAGTCTCCTCTTTTCAGATTCATTAGAATCTTGGATGTGGCGTGCTCAGATTCAAGAAGTGGAGACTGGATATTAACCACCTGTGATGGGGTGTTCACCCCACACAAGGCCCAGAAGGTTAAAATGGCCAGGTGGGCCAATTAACTCCCCTGCAGAAGCCAGGAAAAAGGGAATTGATTAGAAGCACACTCAGCTAGAGGAGCCTATATAAGCCAGGAAGCCAGCAACAGAAGAGGTGGCAGGGAAGGAGTCTGAAGTCACTCCCTGGGAGAAAGGACATGTGTAGGGAGCTATGGGCAAGTAGCCTACAGTTACTCTCAGAGAAGGGAGTGTGGCTTGGCAAGCGCAGAGAAGGGGGAGAGCCAGAGAGGTAGGCAAGGCTCAAGGGAAAAGCAGCGAAGTGTGGGGTAGGTCAAACCTTGGCTGCCAATAAGAGGGCCCCTGAGCCAGGACCTGAAGTAGAGGGCAGGCCCAGGTCCTCCTACTCGCTGCTGATGGAGTGGCACTGGCAGGGCAGTGAGCAGGAAGACTCCCTGAGCCCATTTATCAAGAGGGGCTTTGATACCCAGGAAGGGGAGAACACACATGGTGACCCAGCCAGAGGGCTGAGTCATGAAAGAGGTGGCTGTGGATCCTGGAACGAGAGGGGTCTGCAGGATGAGAGGACAACGGAAAGACTTTGCCAGGGTGGTGGTGATTGTATGCAACACCTGGCAGAGCTAATCCCCAGGACAGCCAGGAGGCAACGTCACTAGTGGTGAGTGCACACTGGGACACCACTATTGGCCAATAATCTCAGAACAGCATTGGTCATAGGGGCATAGAGTTTAGGCCAGAAGGGACCACCAGATCATATAATCTGACCTCCTGTATATCACAGACCACCAGCACCATCCAGCACCTGTACCAATAACTGAAATTAGACTGAAGTATTACAGCTCACAAGACACTAGACTATTCTTATTATTTGACCCTAAATGCATGACTTTACACTTGTACTATTGAACTGAATTTCATCTCATTTAGGTTACTTCAATCTTCAAGGTCACACACATCCTCCTGTTCAATATTCCAATCCTCCTCTGTATTGATGATGCCTCCCAACTTTGTATCATCATAGGATGGTCAATAGAGGAAACAATTTATTACAACAAGCAAAACCACCTACAGAATCCACAAAGGTTGCCAACATGAAAGATTAAAAATGGATTTCTGGGCTATGAAGCCCTGGAGTAGGGGAACGTTCTGCAGTTGGCATGGAAGGGGGCATTATCACCATTATGAAGTCAAAGACAGTATGCCGAAGCCCGAGTCAGGAGCACCCAAGTTCTAATCCCACCTGTGCTACTTGGTGTGTGGTCATGGGTCACTTCATTTCTCTGCTTCTGTTAAATGCTTTGTAAAACGTAGATATTACTACTTTTCACAGATTTTATCATAATATATTCTGACCTCCTTCATGACACAGAATTCCACCTACCATGCATCACAGGGTTATTGGGAGCATTAGTGTCTGTACAGCAATTTCAGCATGTAAATGCATTCTAAGTATCTTACCTTATGTACACAAGGAGCTTGTTCCCCATAACCACCTTCTCATCTAAGAACACAGAAAAAGTTTTTTGTCGCTTTTTATCCAAATAACTAGACAACAGAATAAGGATCTAATCTTTATTTACTGACAGGAAAATCTCATTTACTTGAGCATTAATTGTTATTCATGACAAAAGTGGTGTCAGTACAGTCTTATGGAATTTTTCCATTCTCGATAACTTTACATATTTGCAGCATGTTTGTGTGAGAAAGGATAGTAGCTTGAGAACTAGCTGAAGACAGTTTAAAGAAGAAAGTACTTAAGACTTATTTATAGGCTGTGCAAAGTCTGGAGTCCTAAACAGTAACACCATCTCCTCCCCAACTCCCTAAATTAGAAGTGCTCAGAGACCAATTAAACTTATGATCAAATATACTAGAAATATCAAACAGTATCAAAGCTGTAAAATCTTAAAGGCAAGTATTCTGTACCTGTGAGAGACTTCCCAGCATTAAGTGGAGGAGCAATGACATTGAACAATTTCTGCAACAGTGAAAAAAAGAGAAGTTTCAATATTGTTTATAATTGTTATACATCACATAATTTAAGTGCCAACAAGTCGGTCAGCAATATGCAAACAAGTCGAGTTAGTTCCTGCCCCCAAAGAGCTTAGAGCCTAAAAGGAACACAAAGCTAAAGAGAGTGTCAGAGAATATGAAATAGTCCATGACAAGACAAACGCAATGCCTGGTTTTATAACCTGTATTGTTTAAGAAGGTACCTCCCCGAGAAAGGACAAGCTCACCAAGTTTTACAACAAAAGAAGGCACAGAAAGAAAGGCCTGTGCAAAGGTTCCCTAAATGTACTTGTGCTAGGGAAGCATTTCTCCATCTGCTGATCCTGCGATGATCTATGAGAGCAGCCTTTGTCAAATAAACTTTCCTACATCTGTTAGATCAAAGCTTCCCTCTAGTGGTGCTTAGTTGCTTCCCAGGAATCTAGAGTGCACATTAAAAAAAAAAGAGAGAGACTAGCTGGCAAGCTCTAGCATGCAATGAGCTCGGGGAGCCACAGAGACAAGATAAGCAATAGTACCAGGGAGCACTGCTGATCAGCCCAGCTCCCCCAGCCTCTGATTCCTGCCTCCATGGCTCCCCAGCTCTGCTGCCTAACCCTCCCCAACAGCCCATACCACCACAAGCTTCCTAACCATCTACTAAGGTTCACCCAAGGGAACCTCAAACCCAAGGACCTAGTGAGCTATGTTAGAGCCAGGCTGCTCTCTGGAGAGCACAGCAGGTTCAGCCACCAGAATTGTTTTCCCTAGGACAGCAACAGGCTCCACCTTCCCAGCAAACATTTTCTGCAAGTCTCCCCAAGAACCTATCCACTTCCTCGCCCATTACCAGGACAGAGGGAAGAAAACTCCTTGCCTTGGGAAGTGGAGTTTGTAGTTCCACTAGTGAGGGACTTACTTTGGCTGACAAATCAGCTGTGTTTTGCCAGAAAGGAGCCCTAAGTTCATCAGACAGAGACTCTCCAGGGGAGCATAAATTGAGCTGTGGGTATGAAGATGGGCAGCAGAGGCAAAGTGAGCAGTCAGGACTGGAAGTCAAGTGCTATGCTTCAGCATTTCACTGTCTAGGATGTAAGTTGCATTTGTTGTACAAAATAGCCATTACCCAACAGTTTAGACAGAAACCATGAATAATGCTCAAATTAAGTTGAGATTTTCAAAGCAGTGCAGGGAATTTAGCCATCCATGCCTTCCACTAAATTAATGGCTAAATCCCTGCACTGCTTTGAAAATCTGAACCACTGTTAGTATTAAACCATGCTCTGCCTGAGGAGTTATCTATAGCTACATGGATCTAATCCAGGCCTGCACAACATGCAGCCCGGGCTCACTGTGCAGCCCGTGGGCAAGCGGTGGGGTGGGGCTGCCGGGTTCGCCCAGGGCCGGTGCAACCGTCCGGGATTTTTCCTCCCTCCCGTCCCTTCCCCTCACGCAGAGTGCGGCGTGGCTGACTGGGCGCCTGGGCCTGATTTAGCTGCTCCCATTGGCCTCCAGCAGGCAGAGTCCCTCCCCCGCTCCCCCTGCCTCAGTGTCACGTCGCAGCACTCTGCCGGGAAGGGGTTGTGTGCTCGGCAGCTTGTCTGGTTGGCTCCACGTGGAGCCAGCGGCTGGAGCGGCGTGGTGGGAAGGAGAGTCCTGGGGGGCAGTCAGGGAGCAGGAGGAGGGTTGGATAGGTAGGGAGTTCTGGGGGGGGGGGCGGTTAGGGGGCAGGGGTGTGGAGAGGGATCGGAGCAGTCAGGGGACAGGGAGCAGAGCCGGTAAGTGCCGAGCGAGGGGAGGGGCACCCGGCCTGGGCTCGAGCTGCAGCTCGGGTGGGGGGGAGGGGAAATGGGCCAAGACCCCCCCCCCCAAACCTCCCCTTCGGTTGGGGGTGGGGCAGCTACTGTGCTGGTTGCTCCCAGGGCAGCCTCCGTAGTGATGGGGGGGGGGGGAGTTGAACTGTCTGTGGGCAGCCAGGAAATCCCCAGGGGAGGGGGGGTGTGTGGGGGTGTGTGTTTTATACCTGCCCAGCCCCAACTGCTGCCCCCTTCCCTGGTCCAGGGACCTTCCCCCTCCTCGGCCCCTATCACACTGCCCTCCTCCCCCCCGGGCTCCCTGCGGCCCCTGTGTTTGTGTGTTGGACAGTCACATCCAATCCCTTCACACTGCCCCCCTTTCCCCTCCCCGGCTTAGTTCATAGCCCCAGAAAATCCCTTCAAACTGTCCCCCTTTTCCCCTCCCCTTATTTCATGGTGGGATGACGAACCGAGCGGGCGGGCGGCGCTGGGGTGTGTGTGTTGTGTTTCGGGGGGTTGGGAGGGGGTGTTTCGGCGGTGCGGGGGGGGGGGTTCGGCCCTCAGCTGTTTTCTTTGGAGTAATATGGCCCTTGCCGCTTTACGAGTTGTGCAGGCCTGATCTGATTCTTGAGCTGTTACAAACAAGCCAGTTAGCTAAACAGATACAAAGGACACTTTAGACTGCATGTCTACATTTCAAGGTGTCCTTCTTAAAAATGGTTATCTCCTAAACCACTAGTTTTCAACCTTGTTTCATTTGCGGGCTCCTAAAAATTTTTGAATGGAGGTGCAGACCCCTTTGGAAATCTCAGTCTGCGGATCCCCAGAGATCCGCTGACCACATGTTGAAAATCATTATCCTAAACTACTGAAGATTCACTTGCAATCTCTCAGAAAATTAACTGTGTAAATGTTGTAAATTGGATAAAAATCTTTTTATGTATGTAAAATCTAAAGTCTCACTGTACTTGCACATTTCAACAGCTATGTAGTCACTAGTGATGCCTTCATAATAAGCACGTTTACATTTACAGATTTCTCTCTCAAGAGCATTTGCCATCAGGACTGTATTCAAGGAGTATACAATGGCGGTTACTTGCCTGTAACTGGAGATGTGTGGTCCCTATCTGTACTTCACATGTGGTACGCATGAGCTCCCTGTACCAGAGACCGGAATATCTTGCAAGTAGTATCCATTGGGCCACACCCTCATTATAGATCTTTCTCCTCCTGCTCAGCACCGAGCGATAAGAGGAGATGCAGACTGACCATCTCTCCAATGTCTTCTCTACCACAAACACAGTCATGGTCCGAAGCAGAGGGGAAGGCAGGCAGGTAGTGGAATAGAAACAGGGACCACACATTTCGAAGAGCCTCCAGTTACAGGTAAATAACCTCTACTACTTCTTTGAGTGCTGATCCTTATGTGTATTCCACAGGTGGGTGACTGGCAAGCAGCAGCCAAGTAGGAAGGGGGTGCGAGGATGGAAGTACAGATATCTGTAACACTGCAATTCCAAAGCCTGCGTCAGCAGAAGAGGCTTGGACAAAAGCATAATGCTTGTGAAAGTGCGTCTGGAACTCCAGATTGCCACCTTACAAATGTCCACAATAGGCACATCAAAGAGATGCTACTGAGGTTGAACTGTGTAACTTCCATTCATGTTCAGTGGAGAAGTGCCTGCTAAAGCTGTCTAGCGCCAGGTAGATATGACTCCAAAACTGTGACGTGATTCCAGGTACACCAGTTCCATAAGTTGACCGCCTCCATGCACAGGTATCTTGCCCTCCTTGTATGTTTATACAGAAGACAGTCATATTGTCTGACATTATCTGGGAATGTCAGGATAGGTAGGAGTAGTTGGGATGCACTATACCTGTCTGACTGCCCTTAACTTCCAAGAGGCTGCTATGCATCCTGGCCTACCTTGTGTCATATGGTTGCCCATGTGGGCTCCACAATCTATGAGGGATGCGTCCATGATTACCAACATGCTGGGTATGGGAGGTAGGAAAGACTCCAACTCACGTGTTTCGGGTTCATCTACCAAATGAGTGAAGCCCTGACACTGATGGAGATTGTCACTACAGTGGTCATGCTGCATCTGTCCAATGTATACACAGACCTGAGCCGGGCTTGAAAGACAACAGATTTGTAGCCTGGTGAATGGCATCACAAGCACAGGAGGCCATGTGGCCTCACAAAGAAAGGTGGATCTGGACTATTGTTCAGTGTTTGTGGGGGATACTTTTTTTTTTTAAATCAAAGACTCCTCATAACATACAATCTGTCTGCAGGGAGGTGGGTCCTTACTGTGGCTGAGTCCAGGGTTTCCCCTATAAAGTGTATGCATTACATGGGAGTTAGAGCAGACTTTTCCATGTTTATGCAGATTCCCAAGGATGGCAGGAGATGGCGCAAGGACTGAACTTCCAGATAGGATATAGAGGTTACTTACTTGTAACTGGAGGTTCTTCAAGGTGTGTGGTCCTTATCTGTATACCACACACAGATATGCATATGCACCATGTCCCTGAATTTGGAAATTTTTAGTAAGCAGTGTCCATTGGTCCGTACATGAACAGTTCTCCTTCTGCTCCAAACTGAGAGCACATGTGTGGAATACTCATAGGGACCATCACTCAAAGAGCTGCCTGTTAGAAGCCAGTTCTCCAAGTATAGGAAGATGGTATTGTAGCTACTTTCTCTCAGCTGTGCTGCCACTACTAAGACAACCTTCCAGGGTGCTGTTGCCAGACCCAACTGGAGTACTCTGAACTGGCAATTGTTCCCGTCCTACCAGAACCTAAGGATCCTTCTGTGGGATGGATGAATGTCCACAAGAAAAGTAAGCATTTTTCATGTTGAGAGCTAAGAACCATGTTTTTCTCTCCAAGGAGGGAATTACTGATCCCAGCCTAACCATGAATTTGTGAATAAAAATATTTTGCTGATGTAGGTCGAGAATGGGCCTCTTCCCTTTTTTCTTGGCAACCATGATTTAATATTGGGAGTCAAACCTCTCCCTTGTATGCTGAGGTGGCATTCACTCTATAGCTCCTTGTTTGAGAAGAGAGTCCCACCTCCTGTTGGAGGATCGGAGGATCTCCTTGTGACAGTGGCCCCCTGAACATAAGCCAGGAAAGGGTTTTTGGAGGATCTGGGAAACAAAACTCAACGGTGTTGCCA